TTCTGTTAAAACTTCCTTAATTTATTGCTAGAAAATGAAAACACCTGATGGGTTCATACAGCAAGGGCACCAGAATAATAAATTTGGATCGTGTGACGTGGGCTGTACTGCAAGGTACTGTGAGGCCGACTTGGTCTTCTTTTGTCTTCTAGGAGTGTGCCAGTTTTTCAAGGGGAAGATACGTGTACAATTCACCAGCTTCTTCGAAATCAACGTGTTGAATTGGGAGCTCAGATTTTAGATTTATATTTTGTTTTCTTTATTTTAGTCAATTGTTCTAATCTAAATCGAACAGTACCGAATAATAGTATACGGATTCCCACTGCATGGTGAATCACATATTTAGAAGATCAGTTGTGAGACTTATTTCTCATCAATTTTTAACAATTTGAATTGTTTATTTTATAAATCTTAATTTATAGATTATTTTTATAAAAATCCAACTCAATTAAAAATTATTTGCCTATTTAATTGTCACGATAAAATTTTAATGTTTCTTAAAATATAGTATTAGTTGATCCTTTCGAACTCAATTGGATGCGTCAATTGACTGAAAAAAAAAATTAGAAGTCTCAAGTATTTTCGATTTGATTAATATTTTGTATGGATGATTTATAAAGTGCAACTTAAAAAATAGACGGATCAAATCTTAAAAGTTCCATGTGGTGTCTCATTTAAAATAAAAAAATAGAAATCGCTTCCCTTAAACAATTTGTTTACGTGCGTACGGCCAGTTTTGCAAGCAGTTGTTAGCCTTCTTTGTGTGATATTCTTAGATTACTTTTTGATAAGTTTAGAAATATAGCCATAGAGGAGTTTTGTGTAAGCTTATTCATCTTTAAAAAAAAAAGAAAAAAGAAAAAACAACGTATAATAGCATATGATATTTCTCTTCATGCGTTAACTTATGAAGATTAACATATTCGTTGGAGTGTGAGGCTTATGATGATTGATATATTCGTTGGAGTGTGAGGCTATGGGACATTACTTACCTACACTAAAGATCAACTCTCATCTACACGGAATATTGATACGAGGGCATCTTCCTTGTAATTGCAATTTATTAAAAAGGAACTATACTCTAAGGTAAAGACATAACAAATTATTTGTTATAAAACATGAATTTAAAACTCAAAATATCATGAGGTGGCTTTGTTTGCTACCAAGCATGGTGGCGAGTTCTTTGGAATGAGATTGGTCCGAAATTTTTTATTTAATATTCTTACAGCTAATATAAAACTTGTCATTCGGCTTTAATAAACTTCCATCCCTTCGACAAAAATAAAAAATAAAAAAAATCATGTATTTTCATACACAAAAACATATTTTTTGCTTAAGCCCCTACATATATTTAACAAGAAATGATTAATAAGTTTATTTAAAAGATTACATGTGATGACCCGTCCCTAATTTTCCATGAAATTTCCTTCTCGAGTATGTAAAATGACATTTATGCCCTTGTTGGCAAAGTGACTTGGACGTAGTTATTCGACTTTTAAATTATTTTTTTCAATACCATAATTAATTAGTACTTGTGTGTTACGAATGCGTGAGCGCAAGTTAGACCAAAGAGAGACTTGTAACGAAAAAGTTACATTTAGTTAAAATGTGTTAACAACGGGTAGAATTGTACACATGTGTGTTATTTATATAGTGTTAGAGACACTGTTTTTGATAAGGAGACAGATTTTGTGTACCTTTTATATTGTGCAATCTGATCTCTTTTCATTTTACAAACCCGGTTCTGTGACTTGTTTCACCCACCAATCAATCACTCTCCTCATTTCTCTCACCAATCAGATAGCTTCTCTCTCTCTCTCTCTCTCTCTCTCTCTCTCTTTTGGCCAATCAGAGACTTTCCCTCCTCTGTCTCTCTCTTTCTTCTTCTTCTTCTCTCTAGCTGTGTCTCTCTTCCCTCTGCAACACAAAGAATCGTCATCAAACTTCACATATCAAACCTCTAACCACCACCATCACACTTATCTCAAACCCACAAACCCATCCGTATAAACCGATCATGAAATGATTGAGTTTTGAACCTTCAACTCGGAGCTCCGACTCGGGTGTGCGTTCCTCCACGGCTTTTCTGTTTGAATTGGATGCTTTTGGAAGGTTTGGAGACATCTAGGCAACTCCCCGTGGGCACTAGCCTAGATTTGAAGTGAAGCTAATGTGAGAACACACGGCTTTGAGACAACAAAAATAGGTCCAAGACTTTCAAGTTTTTTCAATCCAATTCCGTCCACGTTTTGGACTTTTAAAGGTATAGACTTGTTCTACTCTTCATAAGCTTCATTTCCATACAAAGTACATAAAAAATGGTTGAGAAATGAAGAAGATATGAAGTTTTAAAATTTTTCTAGAATCCAGTGAAAATTGTCCACTTTCCAGCGAATCAGATAGTGGCGGCGGATGGCGGAGGACAATCGGAGAAGAAGGAGAATATTTCGTTAAAGTTAATGGAATATTCTGACGCCGTTAGGTAACACCGTTAATATTTAACGGAATGTTCCGTCAAATCTGACGGAATATTCCTCTATCATTTGCCAGCATGTTAGGCGCGTGGCCTGCACGTGGGCGTGTGTGTGGCCGCAACCTGATAGCGCATGAGGGCGCATCCGGCTTCCTGGCGGCCCGTGTTTGACGTGTACGGATCCGTGACGTCGAGTAGAATGTTTTCGTATATTTAAACCCTCCATTTGAGCAAACTATGGGAGATTTTCCTAGCCTTTTAGTTTATGTTCTAATTAATTAATTAGTAAAGTTATTTCACATATAAGTGAGACTTACCTCGAGGAGGTACGAGGACAAACAAAGATAAGAGGCTAAGATCCATCGACGTATTAGTGAGTGGGCATTTGTTTATATATATTATAAAGCTTTATAGTTTCCGCATATGCTTTGAGATTTATATTATGCCGATATGCCATGATTTATTTAATTTTAAAAATGCTATTATGACGTTTATATTTATATATTGTCATGGCATGTTCTTATACATATTACTTGCTCATCATGCATGCTTGCACCGGTTTAGTACTCGCCCGGGCCAGGGCCAGGCTTCACGTGTATGTTCACATCGCATCACACACTCACCGTGGATCCATTGTAGGTGCTAGTCTTGTTGTACAGGTTGCAATAGGCAACTTCGACTCATATGTGATGCGTCTAACGCCAATCTTCACGTGATTGTAGTATTAGAGCGTATATTATGATTACATCATCCTGTTCATGGCAGAACTTATCTGAATGAGCTCGTGTGTTAGCATAGGTTGATGAGCACTTGATTTTATTATGCTACTGTTGAGATATTGTGATCTGGCGTAATTCTAGATTTATTGTTGATTTACAGTTGATTTTATACTTATATATAGTATGATTTTTTGGAAACTGTACAAGTTTTACTGCGAGGGGTTAGTATGTTCAGAAAATAAATGTGTTTTATAAACTTTTGTTTTTGCCCACTCACCCTTTTGTTTTTCGCCCATTCAGGACTTAGAAAGCTGAATTCTCTGTGGCATACGAGGAATCTCCGACGGTTCTGACTTAACCCTAAACAAATGTAGGAGCTTTTCTTGGTTGTGTAATAAGTACTTTAACTAGTTTCAACTGCACTACTTATGTCATACTGTCATCTATGCTCTGAATAGTTGTGTTTTATGGATTCTTCCCATTACTGCGCACTCTCTACTTTAGATTAAATAAATGTTAGCTTTGGTTTTAAATTTATCCATAATTTTCTCATGCATCATTTGTAACATCCCACATCGCACCAGGGGAGTGATCCTTATATGTATATTTCCATCCCTACCTAGCACGAGGCCATTTGGGAGCTCACTGGCTTCGGGTTCCGTAGGAACTCCGAAGTTAAGCGAGAAGGGGGCTAGAGCAATCCCATGATGGGTGACCCACTGGGAAGTTGCTCGTGAGTTCCCAAAAACAAAACCGTGAGGGAAGGTAAGCCCAAAGCGGACAATATCGTGCTACGGTGGTGGAGCGGGGCCGGGAAGTGATCCGCTCAGGGCCGGGATGTGACAATTTGGTATCAGAGCCTAACCCTGGTCGCGTGTGTGCCGACGAGGACGTCGGGCCCCTAAGGGGGGTGGATTGTAACATCCCACATCGCCTAGGGGAGTGATCCTTATATGTATATTTCCATCCCTACCTAGCACGAGGCCTTTTGGGAGCTCACTGGCTTCGGGTTCCGTAGGAACTCAGAAGTTAAGCGAGAAGGAGGCTAGAGCAATCCCATGATGGGTGACCCACTGGGAAGTTGCTCGTGAGTTCCCAAAAACAAAACCGTGAGGGAATGGTAAGCCCAAAGTGGACAATATCGTGCTACGGTGGTGGAGCGGGCCCGGGAAGTGATCCGCTCCGGGCCGGGATGTGACATCATTTTCCTTTTTGATTATATCACCTTTGAATGTCGGCCAGCATGTCTCGATTCTGATCGAGGTGTGTTATTACACATTTGTACACACACATTATATAAGCGAATACTAATTACTATTAGATGAACAATGCACCTCACGCATCAATTCACTAAATAAGATTCTAATGTTCCAAATAAAAAATCTAATGAAACCCTAGTAGTACAAGAGAATTCACATAACTATTTTTATTTTTCACGTACCTCTCAATTTTCAACTATTAAATCGAATGAATAAAAAAAAATTAATAGCTAAAAGGAAACAAAGGCATTTGAGAAGTAAAAATTTGTGACGAAACCGTTCTCTAACCCGCTGACTTGTCGTCGACGCGCATTTGAATGACAAACCTCCGTGCAAGTTTCGCCGCAGCCAACTCCTTCATCCGACCCTTCTTTTCTCTGACTCTTGACTTCATATACTTAACTCTCCCTATAATCTTCTCTCCCGTATTCGCGGGCCGACGATTTCCAATTCCAATTTTTTTTTTACCGACAACCCAACTATCCAAGTCGATCCCCACTTTCTTGTTTTTTTTTTTGGTAAACCAAGTCGTTCCCCACTTGCACTTGCTCTCTCCCTTCGTACATATTTGACTTCATAATATTTTCCTCATCTGAGTAACTTCCCACATATATATATAACCCTCTTCTCTCTTCCCATACACTCTTAATCTCAATCGTCACCCACCACCATAAAAAAACCAAAACTCAAAAAACACCCACCAAACCCCCATAGATCATCGCCAAGAAATCAGGTTAGTCTCAATTTTGTTCACTTTGAAAGAATAGTTGCCGGTGATCGAGTCTTTGTGTGTAGTTCTGCTCGCCCGATCGTTTTATCTTGCGTAACAAAATCTATCTTTTTGTTTTTGGTACTTTAAGCAGTTGGGTATTTCGTACTTTTGATGAAATACCCTAAAAGCTTGTGTTTTTGGACTGCAAATCTAGACCATGTCCAACATCCCCACTTCTCTCTCTGAAATCTGCTTAACCCTCTCTCGTCTCGCCATGTCCGAGGCCGATCCGTGGCCATTTTCTTGAACCAAATCAATCTCTGACGAAAACCCATTCACTTCTCAACCCAAATTTCAAAACGCACAAGACAGATTTTCCTCCTTTTTCTCCCAAAAAAATGGCGAAGTTCAGAGGATTCAAGCTCGGAAAGCGCCTTTGCCGAGTCAGCCGGTGGTTCTTCGTCCGTTGGACCCGAACCCGACCCGAATATGCCCGGCTCAACCCGGGTTCTCCCTCCTCGGCTTGCAGCTACAAACCCATGTCAAGGCTGCTCACCTGGGGTCGGAAGCTGTCCGCTGGGGCTAAATCTTTGTGCTGCAGCAAGCCAGGGTCGGGTTACAAGCGGTTGGGTCAGAACCCGGTTGAGAAAAACAAGCCTGTACCGGTGCCGAAGGGACATCTAGCTGTATACGTGGGCCAAAAAGACGGCGACTTTCACAGAGTTTTGGTGCCCATCATTTACTTTAACCATCCCCTGTTCGGGCAGCTTCTGAGAGAGGCCGAGGAGGAGTACGGGTATGAGCACGACGGCGGGATCACCTTACCCTGCCCGATGTCGGACTTTGAGAGTGTCAAGACCCGGATCGCCGCCGGGTCTGGTCACCGGAGGCTGACGTGGAAGCGGTGCGCCACTCTTTAGGTGCGATTAGTGAATAGCGATGATGGTGACGATAATATTCCACGATGGATAGTGATGTTTATTACGAATTTTTGTTGAGTTTTTAGTGATTTTTTTACTTCCCTTTTGTTGACTTTTTTAGTTTTTATATTTTTCGTAGATGTATATATTTATGAAAGGAATATAATATATGTAAGATTTTTTCACAAGTTGGGTTGCTTTGTGTGGTTGAAAATGGTTATGATATGCTAATGATAGTGATTATGTTGGTTTTTTTTTATTTTTTTATGTGGAACGCAACAAAGGGTGTTAAAAAGTGATTAGGATGGCAAGACTTTGACAGCTTTAATATTATGGTGGTTTTGGTGATGGTGATGGTGATAGTATTAATTAAAAACGTATGAAAGCGGGAGAGTGAGATGGGGATTGATATTAACCTCATTGGAAATGTGGTGCTTATGAGTAATTGATGAAGTTGAATATGACTTAAATGGAACTATGTGATTGAAATTGTATAGAGCATGTGACGGGATATTTTACTTCTGATACAAGTGATATTCAAATACAAGACTTGAGGTGCATAAAATAAATGTTATTAATTGCTTGAATTAGAACTTTCGTGTAATAAAATACAAATTTTTACCTTTTATCTCATTTGCCATTTCGAGTACAGACATAACATGTGAGAGGAGGGTGGATTAAATCACTTATGCTTGAGAACTTGTCATTCCACTTCCACATGTCACAAAGTTTTCTAGATTATGCAAATGTTGTCAACAAAGATATTAGTACCATAAGAGTATTACTCAGCCATGGAGGTGGGCATGGTGGAGAATCTGAAATTAGAATCAACTGATGGACGCAGTTTTCTAACATGCCGCCATGAGATTCCGCTGTGTCATCCTAAATTAATAATGCGATGCTTTAGCTATCGTTTCTCCTAAAAAAAATAATACGATGCTTTATGAAAATTTATAACGCATGTCATCATGATACTGGCTCAAAAAGCCATTTGGCACAACAACTGGTGTAGATAAGTCATCTCTCACATACACTGCCAAAGTGAGATGAGCCGAATTGTTCAATATTGATGTTGTCGATAACTTGAATGCAGTCTAGCTATGTTGTTCTGTATTCCACTTGCAACTTGTCTAAGAAGTCATTCAGATGGGGCGTTTGCTGGAGGGATTTTATGGTGCGTGCATGCTTGGTCTTTGAGGAATTCGTGGTGTAACTGAGTTAGCTCGAAAAAATGGCAGATTTGTGTCCTGTTTGGATATATTGAAATGAGTGATGTTAAGGAGATTAAATTTGCAAATTAAATGATGTGTTATCAATAAAAAATGAGCACATTTATCAATGTTTAAGTAATAATCCACTCATCAACTTCAATATTATTTAGTTTACAAAATTTAATCTACAAATTTAATCTCTCTAACATTACTCTATTGAAAGTGAGCAGACTTTTCCATTTTGTTGGGTTGGGTGACAATTATTTCAATCTTTTAGAAGAATTATAATCTTAAAATGTCACTCATCTAATTTGATAATGATGACAATTAAAAATTGCATTATTAAATATATATTTTTTTGTCAAAAAGTAAATTTCATTACCGACAAAGAATATATACAAACAAAAATCCCAGATACAACAAATCTCAATCTTAAAAAGCTAAATCCTCTCTCTATTCTTCTTCGACCTGGGCCGAGAAGAATGGAATCAGAGAAAACTATTTCGGTTTTAAGCTTTGGGTTTGACTACACCTCGTAATTAGGTTAGTTATCAACTTATGTCCTATGATCTAGTATTTAAAAATATGGATGTTGTTTGTGGCATAAGAAGTTTGGGTCTACTTACCAATTGTACAGCTACTTGTGTATGAAGTGACTTTCTTAGTTGCTCAGTGTGATACTCTGGTGCTTGTAAGTTAGATATATAGTCTTTATATATATGTTTTACACAGTCTAATCCTGCATCCGTCACTGGTTTTAATAAGCTATTTTTGTAGGTCTTAGTTGAGAGTCTTGAGATTGTGAATGGTTTGAAGCCTTGGTAATACACCTGGTAAGTTGCTTATTCTCAAAACTATGCCTGGCAGGGTGCTGAACCAAATGTCAGAAAAATTGGGAAACTTGTGAATATGCTTTGAAGAACCCACTGCGAATTCCCTAGCTAATGCTTTTGGTGAGCTTGATGTAGAGTTTAGAGTTCAAAGTTGATTCCACAATCTTTTCTAATTCATAATTTATTTTTCCATTAACCAATGTTTAATTTTATTTTTCTAGCGCTAGTTATATAGATTTAATCTTTTCCAGATGTTAATTTTGGTTCGTCAATAAAATAGCACTAACCTCACATATGAAGACAACAATTTGTTGGTTTTCAAATTCTAACAATGACAGATGTTAATTGTGTTTTGTGAACTGTTTGAAATATCATTAAGCTCAAATATGAAGACAATATGTCTGTTTAAAATTTTGTCGTAATAGGAAAAATCATGTTCATGTCCAATTCTATACGTTTGCTTTAAGTGCATATTTATAAAAGAATCTCTCTCTCTTTTTCTCTCTCTCTCTCTCTCTCTCTCTCTCTCTCTCTCTATATATATATATATATTCCATCTCATGTGTTTCCATTTTTCTACCCACTAGCAAAGATGTTACAAGGATTAGCAAAACGAGCACTTTGGATCAGTGTGCTATGCATTTATAGAAAGTTGTTATCTTCGTGTAAGGAGCAAATATAAGTCTTAAGTAGGTTAATCTTGTAACAGAATTACGATTTCAGCAAGGGAAGCTTTTGTCCTTTAGCCCTTCGTTGACTCTAACTTTTCATTGTATTCGTTACCACTTATATGGGTTTCCCTGTGGTCCATTTTTCTATGAAACAATTCAGTAATTATATTTTATGCTTACAAATCATAGAGAAGTTGATAGCAGATATGTTCTTAGTTGAAGTTGTAGAAGGGTTGCAATGAATTTGTTGAGATTTTTGCATGGAAAATTATGACTGCAAACTCTTTGAAAATCTACTTTTCTTAGGTATTTATATGATCATATCTCAATTTTGTCCTCAACTTTAATCACTTTAACAGTTGAACTTGAGTTAACGTTATTCTTACGAAATTTGTGGGTTTGATTTTGGGTGCAGGTTGCAGCTGATGATTGATGAGTCGATATTATATTATATAATTCACCCTATTCTTAGTATAATTTGATAATTATTCTGGTAAAATTTTGATACTTTGCTTTATATTTTCAATATAGGACATTCAACTTCCTCTGGAGCAAAACATGATCTAATGGACAAATCGTGTGTCTCTTGGCTTGTTCGTGTCAAAATTTGGGATTTTTCTACCAAGCGGTTATTTTATGGCGATTAAATAAAGGAGCAATGCGCGTTGCTGGAAAGTAACGTTTCTGGGCTTAAACTGCGTTTTTGGAGCCTAAGATGACCTCAGATGGGTTCGTGGCCATATGAAGAAGTGTTCAGAATAGTCTAGGTTTTAAATCTAGCTATTTTGTGTCAGTTTTGAAGCTAATATGGGTCCAAAACGTGGCTATGAGAATTTTGGGCAAATTTACCAAGTCAATTTAGGATTATGTTTTCTATTTTATATTAATTTATTTAGTTACCTAGTCTCATTCTAAGACCTTTTATTAGGAGGGTTTTAATGAGGGTAGTATAAATAAGCCTTTTGGTAGACCTAGGGTTTCGGGAAAGGAGAGAACGCATGCAAATTTTGGAGAGAATATTTGGGGCAAAGCTTAGAGGTTTAAAGACTTATATTTTCAAGGTGTTTTCATTCTTTTTCTATTTCAATAAAGACTATGATTTTTAGTATGAAAATGCGTAACTAATTTTTTTTTGGCTAGGGTGAGGCCATGATCCTTAGCAAGAATATGTAGTCTCATTTTAATTTGCTTATGAATTTATGCATGCAAGTTTTGGATTGTTAATTACTGTGCTTTAAATTATCTATTTGTCTTAGTGATTCGCAACCATTAGGATATTTAGAAAAGTTATTTGATGCAATTTGGGCGGAGGGTTGTCCTTAAAATTGACTAAGGCTTCTTGTGATTAACATGTGTAACCTTTTAGGATGGACAACATGTTTTAAGGGTTATATGGTTTTTCAAAAGGTTTTCATAAAACTTAATGAGTCTTGCATGTTCACATTCGATCTGGACACCACGAACGGGTTGCATGTTAGATACACGCTCTATGTTGGAGGTTCCAAGTAGGATATACTCTAGGAAAACCTAACCTTCAAAATATACATGTATGATTCGTAAGTAATTTAGAAGAGCTATATAGGATTGTTAGGATGACGACGGAATCCTAGTACTTTCTCACTTTGAATTCTAAAATTTGTTTCCTTTATATTTCTTTAAAGTTGTGGTTTTTAAGTAATCTTTTTAATTAAACTTGTTTTTCTTAATTTAGGTCATTAAATCACCTTTTTCAAAAGAAAAACTTTTGTTTTAATTAATTAGTTGAGGATTGATTTTGCTTTGACCTCTTTAAATTAATCATTGTGAAGAACAACCAATTATACTACAATAACTTTGTTTCTCTTGCAAGTATTTTAAGTGTTTTTAACCCTTTTGCGCAGGTGATAAAAATCCTATCAAGAAATTGACGCCGCTGCCGGGGATTGATTTTAAATAGATTTTTGTCTATCATATTCTCAATTAATTATTCCCGTATATATATATAAAAAAAAAAAAATTTCATTTTCATTTTTTTTATTCTCTGCAAATTGTGTATGGTTTGTACCAGATCACAAAAACAGCAAATTGTAGATTTTGATCCAGAACCTGAACGAACAGCTAGATAGAGACTTAGAGAGTAGAATCTGCAGTGGGAACCTTCACTGCAGGGAACAATTTTGCATAATCTGTTTACGGGGGTTTTGGATAGCAAGGGAGCTATGGCATTTATTCTACCAATAGTGGGACAACCACTGAGGGAATCCCTGGCAGCTCATGCCACAGAGGTGCCAAGCTGCATTACTTATCCTGAAGTTGAAGATGGGTTTACGTTTGAGATACAACATCATATGTTAGAGATTCTACCTTCATTTCATGGTTTATCAATAGATGATCCTAACATGCATCTAACTGAATTTCTAATGGGATGCAAAAACATTTTGGTGAGAGGATTTTCAGCAGAATCTATCAAACTCAGACTTTCTTCGTACACTTTGAAGGATGGTGCAAGGAGATGGTTATTCACACTTCCATCTGGAAGCATTACTTCGTGGAACCAACTCAGCACTGCATTTTTAAGCAAATACTACCTAGCTTCAAAAACACTTGATATGAGTACTCAAATTTTAACATTTGCTCAGAAACCTAATGAAGCAATTCATGAAGCATGGGAACGTTACAAGGATTTGCTCAGGAAATGTCCACATTCAGGCATTAATGGTGACACTCAAATGAATTTATTTTACAGAGGGCTGAATTTGACTACTAAGACTCTTGTTAATGCTAATTGTGGAGGAACGTTTTCAGAAAAAAAAATGCACTGTAAGCGTATCAATTGTTTGAGAACATGGCAACATAATCTCAACAATGGGCAGTTGATATACCTCAGACCAGGGGTGTTTTTGAGATGTCCAGTGGGTCACCTTATGTATCTACACAGATAGAAAAGATGGAGAAGAAGTTAGAAAATTTTGATGCAAAATTTGACATGCTTTTACAAAGAATGGCAGCACCTGTCCGGCAGCTTACTACAGCCGCATGTACCATTCGTGGCATCACAACACATGATTTTATGGGTTGCCCACATAGGGACGCATACCTAGAGCATGTTACAGAGCAGATTAATGCATTCAATAATTATCAAAGGCCTAGAAATGATCCATACTCAAATTTTTACAAGCCCGGGTGAAGAGATCACCCAAATTTCAAGTGGAATAGAGATCAACAGGTTAAACCACAGTTTCAACAACAAATACAGCAACCTGATGCTCAAGCTAAACCTTCTTGGGAAGTCGCAATTGAAAAATTGGCAGATCATACTAAGGCAAGTTTTGATGCAACAAAATAAGAAATTCAGAAAACCAACCAAAACATTCAGAACATATAAGCAACAATGAAAGATCTACAGTAGCAAATGGGGCATCTTTCACTCTAGTTTTCGGGCAGAGAACAAGGAAAATTTCCCAGCCAAACTATCCCGAATCCACGTGAAAATGCAGATTGTAATGTTGTCAGAATATTGTGTTGTGGTAAAAGTTATGACAACCGTGATGCAGAAAATAAAGAAAACAGTGCTGGAGCTTCACGGGCAACACCTGTGCAGTCACAAACAGGTTCTGAAATTTCTGCAGAATCTACCCAACCACTGGACAGATCCAAAAATACTGCAGTACCTACTGCAGAAAATGTAGAAAAGTCGGAACGTGTTTTATGTTCCACCTATGCCATATCCCGAAAGATTGAAGCCACATGCAAAAGAGCAATAATTAACAGATTTCATGAAGACATTGGCTAAAGTTCAGATTAATCTACCATTAATTGATGCAATCAAGAACATTCCCTTATATGCCAAGTTTTTGAAAATGTGTGCACAAAGGAAAAGAAGCTTGTGGACTTCGAAAAAGTGATTCTCACAGAGCAGTGTAGTGCAGTTCTATTACAAAAGCTACCACCAAAGACAAAAAGATCCAGGGAGTTTTACAATTTCACGCACAATTGGAAATTCTGAGTTTAAACGTGCTTTAATTGATTTGGGTGCTAGTATTAATTTACTGCCTTTCTCTATTTTTTAGCGGCTGGGACAAGGAGAAATCAAACCAACATCAATTATTTTACAGTTAGCGGATTGTTCGGTTGCTTATCCTGGGTGTATTATTGAAGATCTTATTATCAAAGTGGATAATCTCTACCTTCCAGCAGATTTTGTGGTTTTGGATATGGATGAAGATATGCAAACACCAATTATTTTGGGGTGCCCATTTATGGCAACTGCTAGAACTTTGATAGATGTGGAAGCTGACACATTGATGCTTAGAGTACAAGAACAATCTGTTGTGTTTAATTTATTTGAAGCAACTAAGAGGCCTAGTGATATGCAAGATTGTATGAGAGTTGACGTGTTAGAAGGCATCATGTATGTAGATATCATGCCCAGTTTGACAGCAGATCCACTGTTAAAAGTTTTACATGGTTTTGAAGACATAAAAACTGAAGATGAAGAGACTTTTGAGTATGTTACAGCTTTGGAAAGTGTCCCTTTACACCAGCTAAAGTGGAGGCACGTTTTTGAGAGTTTGGGAGAACCAAAAACACCATTACAGCCTTCAAAAATACAGCCACCTAAGCTAGATATGAAGCCATTACCAGAACGCTTAAAATATGTTTATTTGGGTGCTAATTCTTCGCTGCCAGTTATTGTTTTTACAAATTTATCTCCAATTGAGGAAGATAAATTGTTATGTATTTTGAGAAATTTTCAAGATGCCATTCGGTGGACAATTGCAGATATTAAGGGGATCAACCCAACACTCTGTATGCACAGAATTTTGATGGAGAAAGGTGTGAAACCCACCATTGATGCTCAACGCCGATTGAATCCGATCATGAAGAAAGTTGTTTGAAATGAGGTTATGAAACTTTTGGATGCTGGAATGATTTATCAAATTTTAGATAGTAAATGGGTAAGTCCTACTCAAGTGGTACCCCTAAATGCACTGGAATTACAGTTGTGAAAAATGACAATAATGAGCTTGTGCCTACACGTTTAACTACTAGGTGGCGAATGTGCGTCGACTACAGGAAGATCAATACACGTACTAGAAATGATCACTTTTCGTTACTCTTTACTGATCAAATGTTAGAAAGATTGGCTGGTCGGGCTTTCTATTGTTTTTTAGATGCGTATTCAGGCTACAATCAAATTCCAATTGCACCAAAGGATCAGGAAAAAACCACATTCACTGCCCTTTTGGTACATTTGCTTTCAGAAGAATGCCTTTCGGATTATGCAATGCACCTGCAACATTCCAACACTGCATGATGAGCATATTCTCAGGTTTGGTTAAACGAGTTGTTGAAGTATTTATGGACGATTTTTCTGTTTTTGGGGATTTGTTTGATCATTGTTTGCAAAATTTATCTTTGGTTCTTTAGCGTTGCAAAGAAACTAATCTGGTATTAAATTGGGAGAAGTGTCATTTTATGGTTAAACAATGCATTGTTTTAGGGCACTTAGTATCTAGCAAGGGTATTGAGGTTGATAAAGCTAAGATTGATGTTATTGTTGAGTTGCCCCTTCCTACTACTGTGAAGAGCATTCGTTCGTTTCTTGGACATGCTGGGTTTTACAGACGGTTTATCAAGGATTTCTCCAAGATTAGCTGACCTTTGTGTAACTTATTGGCTAAGGATGCACAGTTTGTTTTTGATGATGCATGCTTGGAGGCTTTCAACAAGTTGAAAACACTCCTAATTTTAGCACCAATTATTGCAGCTTCGGACTGGAAATTACCGTTTGAACTAATGTGTGATGCATCAAATTATGCAGTTGGGGCAGTTCTTGGACAACGAAAAGACAAGATTCCACAAGTCATTTATTATGCTAGCAGAAGTCTCAATGAGGCATAGTTGAACTATGCAACCACTGAGAAAGAATTGTTGGTAGTTGTTTTTGCATTAGAGAAATTTCGTTCTTATTTAATTGGGGTTAAGGTAATTGTCTATGTAGATCATGCTGCTTTGAAGTATTTATTATCTAAAAAGGATGCTAAACCTCAACTTATTCAATGGATTCTTTTACTTCAAGAGTTTGATTTGGAAATTAGGGGCAAAAAAGGCAGTGAAAATGTGATGATTGATCATTTATCAAGATTAATAAATTCTGCTACTGCAGAATAAGACACATTGCCTCTCAATGAAAATTTTCCTGATGAACAATTGTTGGTTGTCCAGCACAAAACACCATGGTTTGCAGATTTGGTTAATTATTTGGTCAGGGGAGTTATTCATCCAGATTTTAGTTATCAGCAGAAAAAGAAATTTTTGGCAAATGCAAAATTTTATTTTTGGGATGAGCCGTATCTGTACAAATACTGTCCAGATCAGATTATTTGCAAATGTATTCCATAAGAGGAACATGACAGTGTTTTAAAGTTTGCACATCATTATGCTTGTGGTGGCCATTTTGGGCCTAAAAGGACATCGACTAAAATTCTACAAAGTGGACTGTTTTGGCCTTCTCTTTTCAAGGATGTTAATAATAATCTTGTGATCGTTATCAGAGAGTGGGAAATCAGTCCAAACGAAATGAGATGTCACAACATGGTATTTTCGTTGTTGAATTATACAATGTTTGGGGTATTGATTTTATGGGACCATTCCCATCTTCACATGGCAATCAATATATTTGGGTGGGGGTTGAGTATGTTTCTAAGTGGGTCGAGGCGATTGCACCACCAACTAATCAGGGATCAGTGGTTCTGAAATTCCTCCAAGGGATCATATTTCTACGGTTTGGCATCCCGCGAGTTATACTTAGTGATGGGGGAAAGCATTTATTAATAAACAATTTGCTGCATTACTTGCAAAATATGGGATAACTCATCATGTTGCCACTCCTTACCATCCACAAACATCAGGGCAGGTTGATGTTTCAAACAGGGAAATAAAGTGTATTTTGGAGAAAACAATTGGCTCCACTCGTAAAGACTAGAGTTTGAATTTAAACGATGCACTTTGGGCCTACAGAACAATATTTAAAACACCGATTGGGATGTCCCCGTTTCGGCTTGTGTATGACAAGGCTTGTGATTTACCTATGGAGCTAGAGCATAAAGCGTTTTGGGCTATCAAGGAGTTAAATTTTGCTTACGATTCAGTAGGGGAAAAACGTAAGCTGCAACTCAATAAGCTTGATGAAATTCGCCATGAGGCTTATGAAAATGCACGCACATACAAAGACAAAACAAAGGCATTCCATGACAAACAAATTCTCAGGACAAATTTCCAGCCAGGGCAAAAAGTGTTGTTATTCAGTTCCAGATTAAAGTTATTTCCAAGGAAATTGAAATCTCAATGGAATTGGCCCTACTTGGTTACCAAGGTTTATTCTCATGGAGCAGTTGACATTACAAGCGAGATTAATGGCAACACATTTAAGGTGAATGGTCACAGGCTGAAACCATACTTGGAGTCACCACTCGACAGTGCAGCCGAGTCTATGACTCTGAAGGATCCAACAATTTAATCACAGGGCTTTTGTTCAGTCTAGCTACAGACGTTAAATAAAGCTCTTATTGGGAAGCAACCCAATCTTCTAACTTTTTCATTATTTTTTGTCTCTTTTATTTCATTATTTTCCGTCTAGCTGCATTTAAATTCCTAGGCTGTCATTTAGTGTCACCAATCATCAAAAAATAAAAAAACATGTGGAAAAAAAAAATTTCCAAAAAAATAAGTTACAATTTTACTTGTTTAATTTTTAGTTTACAGTTAGTATTTTCTATAATCTATCTCTGATTTCATAACGTGGGTTTTTGCAGACAGCAACACAAAGCTAACAAGAATGTATACACAGAGAGATTATTTTAGGCTGGAATCATGCACCCAGCAGCAAGTCTACATTACCATAAACCACATTCCTAGACTATGCTGACATATAATGCAGAAATTACAAAGCTCTTGCAGAATCACAGGTCTACCCACAAAAAGATAGAACATTATACCTCCGTTTTGCTATGCGGCCATTCTTCACTGCAAGCCTTAGACGCCAATGAGCTGCTTTTGTGGACCTCCAGTGTTCTTGAAACAAAACAAATCAAGTTGATAAGTACTGAGGAGCTTTCATTATTTTTATGCAGATCTACATCTTTTAGTTTCAAAGATGCCATGTATGCCATTATTGAAGTTTGGGGGTCGGGTCTTTATCTGTCTTCCGCAAGGTTAAAGTTCAAAGAGTCCATATATGTTCAGGGGTGGATCCAGGTTTTCATTCACTATTAGTACGGGAAAAGGCGTGTTCCAAGTTCAACATTCTCATTCCCATATAGTTCCCAGTTATTCCTTATATTTTAGTTTGGGGGTGATCAGGTTTTTGTTAAGTTTTTATCATGGGCAGAAGGTGTTCAAAGTCCGACATCATCATCCACATCCAGATCACCATTTTATTTCTTTTCGCGTTACAAGTCCCGGTTCTAGGTGTTTGAAATATCACAGAATATCACACGAAATATGCTTTGCAGCCATACATGCTGAGTAAAATAAGAACAGAGGGATGAGTTTTCTACCTGTTGCAGTTCCAGGAGTTTGCCTGCTAATTTTGCCATTTTGAACCACTGACTCTGCAGCTTGGGTGTTCTTTTCTCTCGGATATCAACTAGATCCAAGCTATCTACACACAGAGCCAGAAATTTGAGATATGATATGACATTGCACCTTATCTTTGCGGTACGTAGTAAGAACATTACAAAACACGCGTTTGTACCTTTTGCATGATCGGATCTGTGCGGTCCGAGAGGATTCTTTTATTTTTCTCCCTATAGCCGACAGATCCGTGAGCATCCTACACACATTTTACCTCCGACTGTCATCATCCATGCAACCAGCAGATCCTCAACATGCAGGCATAGCACAGTCACATGCGAGTATGAATTGTTAGCTTTGGTTTTCGATCCATGTTATTTGTGAACCTCTCAGTTTCTATAGAGCAAAAGGCTTAGGATTCCTCAATATAATTAGAAATGAGAAAGAGGAGACTCTTTTGAAATGACGAGCTCTGAGATCGATGAAAGAAGAGAGCCGTTTGGCTCTCGGCTCGAGGTTCCAAGTGCAGACATGGGATAAAGGAATCCAAAGTTTTTCACAAGCCTGTGTGCGTGTGAGGTGTACGAATGCATTCCGTGTGTCTCCATTTCTTTTGTTTTCTTCTTGGACCTTTGCGTTTGAGGATTGGGTTCAAACCCAAACGTTTTTCAATGGGCCCTTTTATCATCTTCCCTTTGCCCAACGCTTATCCTGCACCATGGTTTCAAAATTCCAACCTAAGATGCTAAGTCAGCCTATATAGCGCCAGTTCCAGGTCACGGGTTCGACTCCAGGTGTGTCCACTTCTTTTTTTATTTTATTTTATTTCTTTTGTAGTGTATTATTTTATTGGTTGCTTGTCTTTTGTTTTATTTTCTCGTTTTATTTTTCGTTTGTCTATTTCTAGTTATTTGAGGAGGTTATTTATCTTTATTTTGTTGTGTTAGTTTTTTTTTTTTTTTTTTTAGTGTGTGATTTAAGTTTGGGGGTGGGAATTAGAATTTCTAGGTTTTTAATTTTTGAGTCAATAAAAAAAAAATTTCATTTTTTTAAGTTAATATCCATCGATTATTTTAACCGTTAGAACAAATGGACATGGTAAAGGTTAATCCCAAAGTAGAGTCTTTTCTATTTATCGTTGCTTAGACACTAATTCATGGGTTATACTTTGACAATTTGCACATTCACATCGACATGGTTTGTGGGGAGTGAGATTGGAAACACTTACTTTTAGTCTAAGTTTAATTTTAATTTTTGTTCTAAGTAAAGTTAGTTATTGTTATGAATAAAGTAATAATTGTTCCACCCGAGGCTTTGCCTAGTAACCGGGCCAGTCCTGCCTAATGAGCAATGATTCTCGCGTCAAACGGTAAAGTTTTGGCATGGGGCAAGATGGTTAGTTGGTTTCGTAGCCTTTTCACCTCGAGTTAATAAGTCCTTAGAGGTGTTCTACACCTAGTGCCCTAAAGCTTTTGTGGTTTGGAAGCCATTGACCTAAAGCTCGCTACATGGGTTGGATCGAAAGCTTAAGTGAACTGACATTGCACGACCACTACTGTTACTAAAAAAAAAAAAAATAGCCATCTTTAAAGGTAGTATGAGTGAAACAAAGAAGGACAAAAGGTAGAAGTTTTAGTTGAGTCTCCTTAGCCATGTTGGTTCACTTTTTACCAAAGGAAGTTCATGAATTCTTTCCTAATTGATTCTAAATGGGTTAAACTTTGTGGTGGGATTAGCTGAATCTTTTGAAAAGATGTTCTGATTTTTAACGATTTTCTATGGATTGCAACTTTGAAGGTGAAAATCTTTGTCACTTAGTTTTAGTTAAGTTCTACTTTGTTAGCTTTTATTTTTGTTTCATAGTTTAATTTTGCTTGAGGACAAGCAAAAAGCTAAGTTTGGGGGTATTTTGATGAGTCAATATTATATTATATATTTCACCTTATTCTTAGTATAATTTGATAATTATTCTGGTAGAATTTTGATACTTTGCTTTATATTTTCAATATAGGACATTCAACTTCCTCTAGAGCAAAACATGATCAAACGGACAAATTTTGGATTGATTCAAATTGAAAGACATTCGTGTCAAAATTTGGGATTTTTCTACCAAGCGGTTATTTTCTAACGATTAAATAAAGGAGCAGTGCGCGTTGCTGGAAAGTGACATTTCTGGGTTTGTCGCCATTTGGAGAAGTGTTTAGAATAGTCCAGGCTTTAAATCCAGCTATTTTGGGCCAGTTTTGGAGTTGATATGGGTCCAAAACGTGGCTGTGCAAAATTTTGGGCGAATTTACCAAGTCAATTTAGGATTATGTTTCCTATTTTATTTTAATTTATTTAGTTACCTAGTCTCATTCTAAGATCTTTTATTAGGAGGGTTTTAATGAGGGTAGTATAAATAAGCCTTTTGGCAGACCTAGGGTTTTGGGAGAGGAGAGAACGCATGCAATTTTTGGAGAGAACATTTGGGGCAAAGCTTAGAGGTTTAAAGACTTATATTTTCAAGGTGTTTTCATTCTTTTTCTATTTCAATAAAGACTATGATTTTTAGTATGAAAGAGTGTAACTAATTTTCTTTTACTAGGGTGAGGCCATGATCCTTAGCTTCTTATGTAGTCTCTTTTTAATTTGCTTATGAATTTATGCATGCAAGTTTTGGATTGTTAATCAATGTACTTTAAACTATTTATTTGTCTTAGTGATTTGTGACCATTAGGATATTTAGAAAAGTTATTTGATACAATTTTGGCGGAGGGTTGTCCCTAAAATTGACTAAGGCTTCTTGTGGTTAATATGTGTAACCTCTTAGGATGGACGACACCTTTTAAGGGTTATATGGTTTTTCAAAAGGTTTTCATAAAACTTAATGAGTCTTGCATGTTTACATTCGATTGGGACACCACGGACGGGTTGCATGTTAGATATACGTTCTATGTTGAAGGCTCCAAGTAGGATATACTCTAGGAAAACCTAACCTTCAAAATATGCATGTATGGTTCGTAAGTAATTTAGAAGAGCTACATAGGATTGTAGGGTGACGGCGGAACCCTAGTGCTTTCTCACTTTGAATTCTAAAATTGTTTCCTTTATCTTTCTTTAAAGTTTTGGTTTTTAAGTAATCTTTTTAATTAAATTTGTTTTTCTTAATTTAGGTCATTAAATCACCTCTTTCAAAAGAAAAACTTTGTTTTTATTAATTAGTTGAGAATTGATTTCGCTTTGATCTCTTGAAATTAATCCTTGTGGAGAACGACTTTGCTTGAGCCAATTATACTACAATAACCTTGTTTCTCTTGCAAGTATTTCAGGTGTTTTTAACCCTTTTTCACAGGTGATAAAAATCCTATCAATGATCAGATTCAACTTATTGAAATGATTAAGCTCTTGGAAACAAAGGGTTCGAAGACTTTTTAAAGTTTGGTTCCAACATTTGTACAAAATTGTATAAAATATCAGTTATGCAAATTTATAGTTGTATTTTTATATTTTAATGATATTACAATTTGTTTTCTCACCAAAAACAAAAAAAGAAATATGATACCCCAATTTGGGTGCCCACACAAGGCATCTTTTGTTTTTTTTTTAAACACAATTTGCAACATTGACACCAATGTGAATTAGGGTGGCACTGTTTGCAGATGACATCAATGTAATAAAGGTCTCCATTGTAACAATAGAGTCTTTTACATAAGACATGTTCTTTAATTTAGTGGCTGCTTGGTGACAATTGAGGTTTGCCACCAATGTCAGTGCCCACTCTTTATAATAAACACTAATGAAAAGGGTGTCCTCTAGCCAAAATTCTACTAGTGATTATAACTTGATAAAGGTATGTGATTTGTAATCTGAAGGTGTTCATAGATCATTTTAACTACTTGAAAAAACACTATTTGGTAAATCCTTAAATTGTATGGCTAAAGATGCAGTTAAAATAACTTCTGATGCCCTCTCCAACAAAATTGTGACATAATTGATGCGGAATTAACCACAAACTAAAACATGAAAATAACCTCAAAACCCAACAAACAGTTATCTTAGTTAAAAACGGAATACAAAATGTGAGATGAGAGGACACAAAACAAAGAGAGATCAAGAAAGCTCAAAACATTTGATCAAACGATGACTGCATTGGAAAGATCATCCATGTCATTTAGGGGGCAAGGCTCCTCCGGCCGCATTTGGGAGGATAGGCTTTCGGTGTTCGATCGAAAACCTTCTCCGGCCACATGAGTGACTTCGAACACCACCCAAATTTCGACAAGAAATTTCAGGAAAGGGAGTTCGTTGATCATCCACATTACCCACATGCCACTGCCACATCTAATTCTAAGCAAGAAGTGAAGGTGGTTCATAGGTGTTTTCTTTCTTCCTTCTTTGGACGATGCATGGGATCCCCTACTGCAGCCTAAGCTAGATAACATCTTAATTAGTTTTAATAGGTATATTATTCCAATGTTCATCGTTAATTTACAAAAGTTCTATTTCTTACTTAAACTTTTAATCCGATTATATGTTTTTGTCAGTTTTGTGATTATTCTCGTATTGTATACATGCTATTATTATATGATGAAATTTCCAATGTTTTATTTTGTACTCATTCTTAGATATCCCAAGCAATATTCTCGTTACTGGAAATTGCTAATATTTTGAGATAATTTGAAAACGAAAGAGAACCAACATGAATTTCGTATTGACATGGATTTCACAACGATGAGAGATCAAAAAAGAAAAGGAACCGACATAGATTTTTGTATCAATATTCATAGACGACGTCAATCTGTTGATACATAAAATTGGGTCGATTTTGGACCAACTTAGATCCAACTGTCAATCACACAAACACAAGAACACATAAGATATATCATAATTCACCCCAATTGGGGGCTACATCCACATAGGTGTAGATCCGATTACACCATATACTTGTGGGTTACAATTTACATAGAGGCTTGTTGTCAATGTGTCTCGAGCTTTCCCTGATGATGGTTGTGGATGCAAATTTCCGCCTTCTTCCCCTTTGAAGAAAATACACTTGCAAAATAATATCACCTAAGATCAAGGCCAAGAGCCTTACGCGCCCACGATGAATTTGGGGGGGGGGTGCTTTGGCCGAAGAATCTTTGATGCCAAAGTTAGAATTTGAGAGAGAAAGTGTTTAGAGAATTTTTTGGGAGAGAATGAACTTGTATTTTGGTGTGAAGATGGGGCAATTTATAGGGGTGTGGCGGGCCCTATTTGGAGAAATAGGGACCGACCACTTACGGTGGTATTTGAATATAATTTCAAGATATTATGTCAAATAATATCTTGCAATTAATTTGGTAATTAATCCCAATTTGAAAAGAATAATTGGGATTTACTTTGTGGGTGAGGATTTGATGAGGAATGATGAGAGGGTTTTGAATAAATACCATTTTGATAACCTTTGACTCTTCATTGATTGAGCCGTTATTATCCGTTGCATGCGCGTGAGAATCCCGATGTGTCTCGAGGGTAATTTTGTCCTTTTTACACTAAAGTACACATGTCGCCTCCATAATTTGCTTGATTATTTTTAGCTCCACAATGATCATATTGTGTATGCTTGTGGGAAGTTTGTTACATTTATTGTTTTCGTCATCTGTCAACTCTTTGCTCTACCCCTTGATCACAAAATGTTCATGATGACTTTGTCATTACTTATGCTGACATTACTTAGTCTAAATATTTCATAGTTGCATATAGGTATCCATTTATCACTTTTGTTGATAATAAACCTTGTCCTCCACCTTTCATCCTGCAACTCAATCTTTAAAAATGGTTATTTTTTAGACCATGTT